GGCCATTCAGATTATTTTGTTTTATCTAATATTCTGTCATTCGAGTCATTTAAAAATACTTACTGAGTACCACCCTCAAGATATACTGTTCTGTGATCAACAATGGCTCATTAATTTCAATTGTTATCTATGACTCTCTTTAAAAAATAACTCATATTTTTGGGGTGCCTGGGTGGCTCAGTCAGTTAAGCGGCCGACTCTTGATTTCAGATTTCAGCTCGGGTCTTGAGCTCAGGGTCATGAGTTCAAACCCCATGTTGGGCTCCATGCTGGAAGTGGAGTCTGCTTAAAACAAAAACAAAACAAACAAAAAAACCTGGTATTTTAATATTTCATACACTAAGCTTTGCAACATTTTTTCCCATGATTTGCCTGCAGAATTATATCCTAACCATACCTGCCAATCCTCTCCTTGCTTTGGCCCCTGCTATTTCCCCTGTGAGCTCCCAAATATGCATCTATTACTGATAACCTAAATGCTGGGGACAGATAATGAGGCAGTGTCCCCCCTTTCAAAGGACTCCCATTCTTGAGTCCTCTGAACAGAGGTATGAGTAGAAGAATAACTTCAGTTCTCGATGTTACAATCTGATGGTTTCTTTCTTTCTTTTTTTTAAGATTTTATTTATTTATTTGTCAGAGAGATTGCGTGAGCACAAGCACGGGGAGTGGCAGGCAGAGGGAGAAGCAGGCTCCCCGCTGAGCAAGGAGTCCGATGTGGGACTAGATCCCAGGAGCTTGGGATCGTGACCTGAGCCAAAGGCAGACACTTAACCAACTGAGTCACCCAGGTGTCCCAATCAGATAGTTTCTTACAGGATGTAATAGTGAAAGCCTCTATGCACAAACATTATAATCAGCCGTGATCAGAAAGGGGTTAATGTGCATGAGTTAATAGTTTTTAAGATCAAATATTTTTTAAGAGAACAGATGTTGGCGGGGATGCGGAGAAAGGGGAACCCTCCTACACTGTTGGTGGGAATGCAAGCTGGTGCAGCCACTCTGGAAAACAGTATGGAGGTTCCTCAAAAAGTTGAAAATAGAGCTATCCTATGATCCAGCAATTGCACTACTGGGTATTTACCCCAAAGATACAAAAGTAGGGATCCGAAAGGGTATGTGCACCCCGATATTTATAGCAGCAATGTCCACAATAGCCAAACTGTGGAAAGAGCCAAGATGTCCATCGACAGATGAATGGATAAAGAAGATGTGGCATACATACACAATAGAATATTATGCAGCCATCAAAAGGAATGAGATCTTGCCATTTGCAACGACGTGGATGGAACTGGAGGGTATTATGCTGAGCGAAATAAGTCAATTGAAAGACATGTATCATATGACCTCACTGATATGAGGAATTCTTAATCTCAGGAAACAAACTGAGGGTTCCTGGAGTGGGGGTTGGGGTGGGAGGGATGGGGTGACTGGATGATAGACATTGGGGAGGGTATGTGCTCTGGTAAGCGCTGTGATTTGTGCAAGACTGTTGAATCACAGATCTGTACCTCTGAAACAAATAATGCAATACATGTTAAGAAAAAAAAAAAGAAGAAGGTAGCAGGAGGGGAAGAATGAAGGGGGGGGAAATCGGAGGGGTAGACGAACCATGAGAGACGATGGACTCTGAAAAACAAACTGAAGGTTCTAGAGGGGAGGGGGGTGGGAGGATGGGTTAGCCTGGTGATGGGTATTGAGGAGGGCACATTCTGCATGGAGCACTGGGTGTTATGCACAAACAATGAATCATGGAACACTACATCTAAAACTAATGATGTAATGTATGGGGATTAACATAACGATAAAAAAATTAAAAAAAAATAAAACAAACAAAAATAAAAAATGAAAAGAGAACATATTTCCAGATAACAAAATAAATATCTGTGGACATGACATGGATATGTGATTAAATTATATCATTTACTATGTTACTATAACTATTTTGTATGGGCTCTCTGCATAAATTTCACATGCTTTGCTATTAAAGTAACATGTTACACAATTTTATCACTTTCACATGAAGTTTATAATACTTTAGAATTGTATGCTTTGCTTAACACTGTGATTTATTTTGAGATATTATTATATTTCTGTAAAACCTAAATGAGTGCTAAATTTTAATTTTTAAAATTAAAAGCAAAACGCCTATTTTGCAAATTAGCTTTTACAAATGAGATTTGTTCCCAGTCTTTAAAATAACTGCTTCCAGAAAACAACGGTAAAAATTCATCTTGTATAGGTTCTTGTGATATTGTGATTTGGTCTCCATCCCATTTCTGGCACAGAGTTCTCAAAACCTATAGAATTTCCTAAGTGAAAGAGCAGTAAATGTGTCTTACTATTCATAGCAAACCTCTTTTAACCCCACTTGAGTTTATGTGAATGAGGTGACTTTTGGAAAGCACCTATAGACGAGGGCTGGTTGCCAGGGGAACCCAACCATGAATAGAAGGTTAGAATTTTCAGTCCCACCCCCTGATTTCCCGGGAGGGGAGAAGAACTAGAGGTTGAATCAATCACCAGTGGTCAGTGATTTAATCAATCATGCCTAAGTAATGAAGCCTCCATAAAAACTCAAAAGGAGGGGGTTTGAGAGCTTCTAAGTTAGTAAACCAGAGCACTGACTCATGTCATCATGCCAGCCCCCAAACTCCACAGGGACAGAGAAGCTCCTTTGTTTGGGGCCTTACCCTATGTACCTCTTCATCTGGCTATTGATTATATCCTTTAAATAATAAACTGATAGTCAAATGAGTGAACTGATTTCCTGAGTTCTGTGAGCCACTATAGGAAATTGATTGAACCCAAGGAGGGGGTCATGGGAACTTCTGATGTGTAGCCAGTAGGTCAGAAGCACATCTGACAACCTGGACTTGTGATTGGCATTTGAAGTGGGGAGCAGTTTTGTGGGACTAAGTCTTGAACCTGTGGAATCTGATGCTGTTTCTGGGTAGACTTTATATGCATGGGTTTATTTCTAGGCTCTCAATTCTAATCCATTGGTCCATATGCCTGTTTTTTAATGCCAGTACCATGCTGTTTTGATTACTATAGCTTTGTACTATAGTTTGAACTCTTCATGACCAGTTCTCCAATGAGAAAGGGGACACTTGTGCACTGGCTGGTGGGAATGTAAAGTGTTATAGCCACTATGAATAACAGTATGGAGGTACCTCAAAAAATTAAAATATAACAACCATATGATCCAGCAGTCCCACTTCTGGATATTTATCCAAAAGAAATGAAATCACTGTATCAGTTCATCAGTGGATGAATGGGTAAAGAAAATGTGTGAGAAACACACACACACACACACACACAAATATTATTCACCCATGAGAAGGGAAGGAAAATCCTGCCACTTATGAAACCATAGATGAACCTTGAGGGCATTATGCTAAGTGAAATAAAACAGACAGAGAAACACAAATACTGTATGATCTCATGTATGGAATCTAAAAACGCTGAAGTCATAGAAATGGAGAGTAGGATGGTTGCCCCAGGGGCTGTGGGTTTAGGATAAATGGGAAGATGTTGGTCCAAGAGTACAAACTTCCAGTGATGAGGAACAGTTCTGTGGATCTAATATATAACATGGTGACTGTAGTTAACAAAACTGTATTGTATACTTCAAAGTTGCTAAGAGAGTGGATCTTAAATGTTCTCACCATAACAACAACAATAAAAAATGGTGATTATGAGAGGTGAAGGATGTGCTAACGAACCTGATTATGGTAATCATTTTGCCATATATATACATATGAAACCATTATGTTGTATACCTTAAACCTACACAGTGTTCTATCTCTATAAAGCTGGGGGCAGAGTTGGGGGGAAGACATGAAGGACCCTGCTATCCTAGGGATAACTCCTGGTGTTTGATAGCTCTCAAGACTGGGATCCAGTCTGGGGGGCTTCAAATGCCCCCTCCTTTGGTGGCCCCACCATACTCATGACACAGCTTCTCTCTACTGTTTCCTGTCTACTTTAACTCTCTGGGCATCCAGAGCACAAGTTCCCAGTGAGAGAAGAACTGGCTGAGCTGATTAGTCTCAATCCAGTATGAAAGGCCTTTCTTGGCTGGTGTATGTGGATTTCCAGGGTCTAATCAATTGTGGCCGAGGCAACAGGATCAAATGACATGAAGCTTGACAGCCTATGCATCAGCAGCGGTTAGGGTTGCTTTGTCCCAAGGAGTCTGTACGTGTCAAACTCCCTAGAGTTTCATGGTCTGTCTAGTTCACTTCTATAGCTTGCTTTCATCCAATGATTGGTATTACTTCATATTTTTATACCAGGAACTCCCTAGGATGCTAAGTTTTGAGTTACTAAGTGTAGAACAGAACAAACATCATGTTTGATTAAAGAATAAACCATGTGTTGTACTTTTTCTCGGGTACTGAATCTTTAGGGTGACTCTGGAAGTAAAGATAATAATAATACAAGGCATTATAAAACAAGATATCAAGATAGAAAGATCAGCCTAGGTACTATAAAATGGAGTGTCAGATTCTAAATCTAGGGTTTTGGAAAAAGTCAAGGTAATTTACAGCGTTAATAGTAGGTGTAAACCATTGCTTAAGCCTATAACATCTGGAAGGGTATGAAGATACTATACCTTATGGGAAAGAAAAAAGTCTTATGTAATCCAATACAAATACACAAACACGCACACTGAAAGGTCATCAGGGAAACGTTGGGTAATCTGTTCCTTCTGTCTGTTCTCTCTGTCCAGGCTCTCACCCTATCCCAATCCCAGTCAATTGATCCCTTTGGTGTTCTCCTCAGTAAGGCTGACAGGGCAGCATCTGTGCTTTGGAAGAGGATTGTAGGCCCCTCCGAGAAGGGAAAACATCCACCAGACCAACTCTTTTCTCTTTCCTGGTTGATACTGATCACCTTTATAATGTCAATGCAGAGGGCTGTTACATTCTGCTTCTTTTTTTTAAAAAAAAAAAAAGCTTTTTTTTTAAAAGATTTTATTTATTTTATTTCAGAGAGAGAGCACGAGCAGGGGGAGCGGCAGAGGGAGAAGGAGAAGCAGATTCCTGCTGAGCAGGGAGCCCGATGTGGGACTTGGTCCCAGGACCCAGGGATCATGACCTGAGCCGAAGGCAGACGCTTAACGACTGAGCCACCCAGGCGCCCCTCTTTTCTCCACTTTAAAGACCCCTCCCACGATGGAAGATGGGGAGTAAAAAGGGGGTTGATGGGAGAAGAAAAGCCTACCTGGCACACGGTCTTAATGACAATTAATGGAGACTGGAATCTGGTAAGCCCTGGCCTTGCTGTTGCTGGCTTTCATAATTACATTTGCTTGCTCTCCCTAGTATACAAGTAATTTCCATTCAAGTTGACTCAGTCCCAAACAGGAAAGGAAGAATAGATTACATTATGTTAAAGCTTATAGTCCTGAATGACACAGGAGCTATTGCAAATGCATTGAAAAATTTCTGGGTTTAAAAGACAAGTCCAGTTGTAAAGTTTCTATAGTTTTGTGTATATTGGTGAATAAGAACAATTGAATACATTTGCCTTTGTTTGATGGGATTTGTGTTTAATTTAGTGACATTTCAATTATAGTAGTTTATAAAATCAGGAGTTTATGTTTAAAATGGGGGAATTTCACACAAAGCCAAATAGTAAAAATATAATCCTAAAGTTCCCAATGTTTTCAAAATCTATCACTGACAAAAAAACAAATGTAATGATACTGATTTTAGCCTTAAAGATTTTATTTATTTATTTATTTATTTGAGAGAGAGGTGGGGAGGAGTGGAAGGAGAGGGAGAGAGAGTCCTAAGCAGACTCGGAGCTGAGCACACAGCCCAATGCAGGGCTCGATCCCACAACCCTGAGATCACACCCTGAGCCAAAAACCAAGAGTCAGATGCTTAGCCAACTGAGCCACCCAGGCACGCCTGATTTTAGTTTTACATGGAAAATTTAGAGAAGAGGGACACAAGCTTGTCAATGTCATAAAGATAAATTTTCTTTAATAAAAGCAGCTTTCCAACTCAAATGATACTATGTGGCCAAAGTCATTTTTACAGAAATAATGCCATCTCTGATAGTATTTAGCCTTTTAAGCCTAAGATTTATGTGTACTAATTAGACTTAATATGATTTCATTGTTGGCTCTAATTGTATAGTTAATTATATTTCATTATTAGCACTCCTGACGACAAATCCATTTCAGATTTCTTATCATCTTCTCATCATCACAAAGTCCTGCCAACTCCACCTCCGAAGTATTTATTTCCACCACCAACACCACCCCCATTGCCATCCCTCACTCATACTGTCGGCATTAGCTCCTAATTGGTCTCCTGCTCTCTTCACTCTGCTCCCTCTCTCATCTGTTCTCCACATTGCAGACAGAAGGAGTGTTCGCAGATGCACACGTGTGAGGAGGAAGACCAACTCTTCATATGGCCGGCAAGGCCCGTATGATCTGGTCCTTACCTACCTTCTGGGTCTCATCTGGCACAGGCTACTGCTGATCCTGTGTCTTTGAGAACCTCATACGGGGCTCCAGCCGTAGAACCCTACATGCATTTAGAACCCTCTGTCCTCTCCCCTCCCCTCTTTACCTGATTAACTCCAAGTGCCTTTCAGGTCTCAGCTCAAGGGCCACTTCCTCTAAGAAGCCTGCCCTGATCCTTCCCTGACCAGCTCAAACACCTGTCTACGGACTATGACTAGCACTATGTAACTATCTTTCTTAGCTCTTGTGACGGTCCTACTACTTTATTGGCTTGGTGATCATTTGATTAATGTCTCTCTCCCCTACTTGACTAGAAGTGAAATGAAGACAGGAATCATGTCTGTATTTGTTCACTTCAGGGCCTAGAAAAGTACCCAGCGCATAATTGGCACCCAATAAGTGTACGTTGTATGAATAACTATGAAAATAGCCAAAAAATAAACATAAGTACATTTAGCATATGGATTGAAATGTGTAGATGCAAAATTATTATTCCATGAGTCTGACTATTTTAACAATTAAAAGAAAAAATAACAAAACTCAGTTTAGGTTTTTATTGTTTATTGGGAGATATTAAATTACTCAAAGGGTTGTTTTACTAAAATGTTTAGTTTTTCATGCCATTCATCAATATTAAGTAACCAAAATATGCATGTCAACCTCAAATTCCTATGACATCCTTTCTACCTTCCAAAGTTAAAAAGTTTATTCACTCATGCTTTTGAAAAATTAAAGTGATTTTCAATTTTGGCTTTGACTGAGTTCTCCAGCTTTTTTAAAAATAAAGAAAATACTACAGGGGCGCTGGGTGGCTCAGTTGTTAAGTGTCTGCCTTTGGCTCAGGCCATGGTCCCAGCGTCCTGTGATCAAGCCCCGCATCGGGCTCCCTGCTCCGCGGGAAGCCTGCTTCTCCCTCTCCCACTCCCCCTGCTTGTGTTCCCTCTCTCACTGTGTCTCTCTCTGTCAGATAAATAAATAAAATCTTTTAAAAAAATAAAGAAAATACTACAAAAACCTTAAAATGGAAAGTGTTACTGGTGGTAAGTATAGTAAGAAGAACAGCAACAATTTCAGAAAACTAGGAGTACTGTGCTCTATTTTAAGGTGTCTAGGTGGTTGCTCATAATTTATGTTACTACTTCAATAAATATTGCTGTTTGTGAATTTTTCCTTGCCTGGACCTCATGCAGGTTTAAATGTGTTTAAAGATTTGGGTAGTTAACTTTTATGGTCAGAAACCTTTGATTCCAAATTTATAATCTGGTGCTTTATGTGAAATAGACATGTGCAAATAGTCTGGAAGAAAAAATTCCATTACCGCATTGAACAGAAACAGAATTAACTCCTTAATTTTCTGTGCAGTCTTTGAGGGAATTCCCCCCCCTGACCCCCAGTGTACTATTTAATTTGTAATAGCTTGACTACTTAAATAGAAATATTTTACCTGAGTCAAACATTAGCAGTTAGATACTTTGGTAATGTAAGAAGATACTTTAAAAACAAATCATGCTAATGATTTAAGAGCACTTTGTGTTTCTTGTTCACGGCTTATCCATATCATCTGAAAATAGTTCCTGGCATAAAAATGCATTTAATATTTGTGGAGTGATAAAGTGTATATGTAAGGCTAACTTTAAAAGCTTGATTAATATATAAAATATGAATCTTTCAGTTTGGGAAATTAATTAATTCAGCTCATCTTAATGGCTTTGCAATAAGTGGACTGGTGGGTCTCATGCTTTAGAGAAAATAGAGGTATATTTCATTTGTAAATAGGAGAAATCCTTTTCAGTGAGTTTTTAATGTGTAAAAGAGGCTCCGGGCCAGAATGACATATTCATAATTACTGTGATTTAATTCATATTCAGTTTATTCAAGCCTGCAAATTCAACTTACAGATATTGATGTTTTATTTATAAATCTAATACTTGTGTGTTAAAATACAAAATGATGACTTTCATTTTTCTTTGATTTCCAAGAGATCATAAATCTGACAGTTTAATTTCTCATAATCTTTTATTTATTTTTTAAACACCATGGGTACAAAAAATGGTAAGTATAGTAAGTACCACCATATAATATATATATACTGAAGCCCACCCACCACTGGCTTAAGAAATAAAGTATTACAGATACTTTTGAAGTTCAAAAACTACTTCTTCTGAAGTCTATTTCTACCCCCCACACCACTACCATTCTGAATTTTATTCTATAAATATTTACTACAGATAATATCGTATATTGTTTTGTTTACTTTGAAATAAAATAAGTAGTATGTCACAGGTTGGGCTCTCCAGAAGCAGATGCTGACATTGAGTTTGGAATATTTCTGTGGCTTGTTTTTTCACTCTTTTTTAAAACATGGAACTGTTTGCTATATAGAAGTTTTATTTTTTTTACACTTTTTAAAAAAATCCAGGGTAGTTAACATAGAGTGTTATATTCATTTCAAGTGCACGATATAGTGGCTCAACAACTCTGTACATTACTCAGTGCTCATCATAAGTGTGCTCTTTAATCAGCTTCACCTATTTCACCCATTCCCCCACCCATCTCCACTCTGGTGACCATCTGATTGTTCTCTATGGTTAGGAGTCTGTTTTTTTGGTTTGCCTCTTTTTTTATTTGTTTGTTTTGTTCCTAAATTCCACATATGAGTGAAATCATGTGGTATTTGTCTTTCTCTCACTGAGTTATTTCACTTACTATTAAACCCTCTAGATCCATCCATGTTGTTGCAAATGGCAAGATTTCATTCTTGTTTGTGACTTAGTAATAATCCCATTGTATATATCTACACCCATCTTCTTTATCCATCCACCTATCGAAGGAGGCTTGGGCTGCTTCCATAATTTGGCTGTTGTAAATAATGCCACAATAAACGTAGGGGTGCATATATCTTTTTGAATTAGTGTTTTTGTATTCTTTGGGTAAATACCCAGTAGTAGGATTACTGGATCATATGGTAATTCTATTTTTAACTTTTTGAGGAATCTTTATACTGTTTTCCACAGCAGCTGCACCAGTTTGCATTCCCACCAACAGTGTACAAGGGTGCCTTTTTCTCCACATCCTTGCCAACACTTATTGTTTCTTGTGTTTTTTTTATTTTAGCCATTCTGACAGGTATGAGGTAATATCTCATTGTGGTTTTGATTTGAATTTTCCTAATGATGAGTGATGGTAAGCATCTTTTCATGTGTCTGTTGGCCATCTGTATGTCTTTTTTGGAAAAAATGTCTGTTCATGTCTTCTGTCCACTTTTTAATTGAATTATTTGGGGGGTTTTTTTTGGTGTTGAGTTATATCAGTTCTTTACAGATTTTGGATATTAACCCTTTATTGGATATGTCATTTGCAAGTATCTTCTCCCATTCAGTAAGTTGTCTTTTAGTTTTGTCAATTGCTTCCTTCCTGTGCAGAAGCTTTTTATTTTGATATAATCCCAATAGTTTATTTTTCCTTTTATTTCCCTTGCCTCAGGAGACATATCTAGAAAAATGTTGCTACAGCTCATGTCAGAGAAGTTACTGCCTATGCTCTCTTTCAGGATTTTAATGGTTTCAGGTTTCACATTTAGGTCTTTAATCCATTTGAGTTTATTTTTGTGTATGGTGTAAGAAAGTAGTCCATTCTTTTACATGTAACTGTCCAGTTTTTCCAGCACCATTTGTGGAAAAGACTATCTTTTTCCCAGGCAAGACTGACATTCTTGCCTCCCTTGTTGAAGATTAATTGACCATATAATTGTGGGTTTATTTCTGGACCCTATTCTGTTCCATTGA